TAATTTAATGCAGGCAGAGGTAAAATGAGTTTGAAATTTAAGTTGACAAGCCAGATTTTTAAAAGCTAGCTCTGCTGGTCTTTTTTAAATCTTGCCAAGAAATGACAGGTTCCGGTTCATTGACACCAGCAGCTGATACCAGCCCCCAAGCCCTGGAGGAAATTATTCTGATCCGTTTCTGCCCCAGGAGCAGCCTCTTTGAAGCAGTTAATATATTCCTTAATAGGAGCACAAAAGTATCAATTTTCCCTACTCACCGCATAAAAAATGTTCCATTCTTTGAACCATCACTGATACTGCCAAGATGTGGGGTCCAGGAGATGACAGGATTCTGCCGATTGCTTGGGCATCTTCAAGAATGCATCATTTCCCAACAAACCAGATCTTGGTGTAAAACCGAGATCATATTTACCCCACGATTTTGGCTTCCCTGGCGCACCACTGAGGTCTCGGGTAGGAGTGAGTCTCTACCAGAGACGGGCAAGATGAGATTTCTTGAAGTTCTTTGAAATCTGAAACCAGAGAGCAGTGGGCTTGGGCACCATTGTGGTTGGTGGAAGGAGTGTAACAATGTCTTTTGTTCCTTGAACGTTTGTGTTGGATTTCCATGTGCGCTTGTACGTAGAATGGTAACCAGCAACAGGTTGTAAACGAGGTCATTTGAGTTCTGTTTGTGACTGCCACGAATGTGCCATCCAGCTTTGGGTTAATCAGTTATTTTTCGTGTTATTTTCAGAAACAGGAAGAAACCTTTGAGCAGGGGTTCTGGTCCAGGGGTTTTCGCATGGGCACCTCCCTCCCTTGGGGCCCTGGCAGCCAAAACACCAGCTGGCATCTGTTGTCCGAATAAATGTGGATTGCACATATGTGCCATCATTTTTCAAATGTACATAGATGGTAAATATGATTTAAAAGTACGGAATGGCAGAAAGCTACTGAGAATTCAGCAATGCTTTTTATTTATTTTGATTTTTGATTTTTGTTTTTTGTTTTTGGTGGGGGAGGTAATTAGGTTTTTTTTTGTTTGTTTGTTTTGTTTTTTAATGGAGATACTGGGGATGGCACCCAGGACCTCATGCATGCTAATCATGCAGTCTACCACTGAGCTACACCCTGCCCCCAACAGCAGTGCTTTTAAATGTCTTTGCATTTTGTTAATCCACCGATGCTAAAATCAAAGCTGTCATGTGGAGGTTGACATTTTTGGTGTTAAAAGTGGTTTCCTTTGGATTGATTTAATGGCGGGTGTTTTAATTCAGAAACTTGGTCTTAGCCAAAGGATTGTATAGGTACATACTTGTATAGATTTCTTAGAAAAAAATGTTTTGACATACTCCTTTTGATCCCAGTAATTTCACAGTTACCCTCTCTGGGGACACCCAGTGGGTGTGCTGGGAAGTGCAGCCTTTCTATCTGCGGAAGGTGGCTGTTCCTGGACCAGATGCCATCTGGTTCTTAGGACTGCTGCTAGTTCAGACTCCCGCAGGAGGCTGGGAGGCCGGGAGGCTGGGAGGCCGGAGACAGGGACTCCTCCCTGTCGCTCAGCCCAGCTGGTGCGGGCGTGTCCTGGGCGCCAGCACTTACGGGAGATGGATATTGGCCAAGGTGGTTTCACTAAAGTGTAGCATGAAGAAAGCCTTGCATGATTGGAACCCTGGAGTAGGAAGGTTTAAGCAGAAATACACATAAAGGACGTCCATGGTTGTCCTGGGTTTAAGGCTGTGCTCCAGGTTAGGAATTGCAGAAAGCTTTCCCGTATCCTGGAAATTGGAATTGGTATCCCTTCCGTGAGCTGTAATCTTTATTATTTTATTAGACCCTTGGCTCCTCCAGGGCAGGGATGCTGTGGGTTCTACGCTCTTGCTACCCAGGCCCAGCCGTGCAGGCACCCAGCAACATCAGGCTGAGTTTTTTAATCTTTTCATTTTATGCATCAGTAGGATTACAGTTCCCTGGGACTTTAAATTAATGTTGAGTTTATTAAAATTGTAAAAATAAAAAAACCTTAGCTTCTTCTCACGCCGACATATAAATGCTATTGCTCTATAAAGCTAGTAATTTTTGTATTAACATAAGGATATTTACTTTCATTATTTGATCAATAGTTTGTTAACTCAAGTGTAACTGATGGAAATCTCTTCAACAATTTACTGTAAACCAGTCTCATTTACAACTTAGGGAATTAAAAAAAAAAAGCTAAACATTTAAAATGGGACGCACAAATTTTATTTACCTGACTTTTCCCCCCAGCAGTTCCAAGCCCTGATGAGGCCCCAGGGAAGCTATCGGACCAGGTTGCTTTACAAGTCTGAGCAACTCTTTGAAATCTAATAAACCAGACTTGGCAATGCGGTAAATCAGATTTCTTCTAAACATCTGAATACTATGTACAGACTTAAGAGTGTCTTATTCCTTTCAAATGAAAATTGCAGATTTGATATCAGTTGTACGTTTCAGATACAAACCACAAAGGCCAAGATGTTGGATTCTCTAAGTTGTCAAATTGTTGTAAATACCTTAATAACAAAGATACATGTTATTCTGAAGACTGAAGACTCTGTCTGCAATTGAGTTGAGTCCCTAACTTAATGTAAAAGCTTGATGTGCGTCGTCTCTAATATTTTTTCTCTATCATCCCTGGTAATAAACATACTCAGGTCAAAAGCGGTGCCTGGGCTGAATGTCTGTGATCTAGATTCTGTTACTAACAATCAAGAACTGGGCCTGGACCTCGGACTGGGCGCTGAGTTGCGACAGGAGGCGTCTCCCTGATCCTCCTGGGCTGAGCCTGTTCTTAGCGTACGAAAGCTCGTGCCCTCCAACTGGGGTTTAGCTTTGAAATCTGGCATATCTTAATGCTCTCTCGGAATCTTTCCAGTTTCATTCTCAACCAGTTTTGGGGGGCGGAGCCAAGGCGGCAGAGTAGAGAGATTCACGGCTCGCGCCCTCCCACAGATCCACCAAGAATTACATCTACAAGCCCACTGAACCACACAGAACACGTACTGAACCCTGGCAGAGCGTCTCTCATTTCATTCTCAACTGGTTTTGATTGTTACCTCTTTCAACATTGAATCACCTGATTTCAGTGGATGAAATTTTGTCCCCCACTTAGGACTAATTTCCTTTACTACTTGAGTGAAATGAATATGTTTCTTGATCTCTGGTTGAATTCTGCATTCTTTCCTGTGTGTGTGTGTGCGCACACACGTGTGTGTGTGTGTGTGTGTGTGTGTATTTTTTTTCTTGTCTGATGCTTGGTCACGATTTTGTAGTCATTTAATTGACAGGTGTCAATATACCAGTCGGTTTGAATGCCTGTTGAGTTGACTTTGGTCATAGGGTACAGGAGTCGTATTGGCATGTGGACTCCATTATTTAAGTCTTCCTTGTCTAAAGCCAGCAATCGCTCGGCTGATCCTTCCCTGCTGACACCAGTGGTCCTCAGCACTGGCGGAACTTTAGAATCACCTCTGGATCTTTGATCCTGCACACGGCTGGGGCCCTGCCTCTAACCTGTGGAAGGGGACCCTCTGCCAGGCATCGTCGTGTTAAAAGTGCACCAGGTCATTCTGATGCACAGAGAGGATTGAAAACCACTGTTGGAACATAGCTGTTAAACAAAAGATTTCGGATCATTAAAAAAAAAAACTCTTTGTCCTTAACTGTTTGGGGGGAAACACTAATTGGAAATGCACAGACAAAATGAAAAGGACACCTAAGGTAGAAAATTCGGCTGATGCATGACTGGACCATCTTCCTGTAAAAAGTCCGAGTTAAAAAGGAGATTTTTGTTTTGTTTTGTTGTTTTTTTTTAAAAAAATTTTACTGAAGTGTAGTTGATTTACAGTGTTAGTTTCAGGTGTCTAGCAAAGTGATTCAGTTACACACATACATACATAGATTTTCTTCTCAGATTCTTTTCCGTTATACGTTATTGCAAGAAATTGAATATAGTTCCCTGTGGTGTACAAGTCCTTGTTTAAAAAAAAAGATGTTTTAAGATGTAGGTTTTAAGATCTTTCTGTTCTGCGTTTCTTTTTCTTTTTTTCTTTCTATTGAGGTCTTTTCAGTTTACAACACTGTGTCAATTTCTGGTGTAGAACACGATGCTTCAGTCAGACACGAACGTACATATATTCATTTTCGTGTTCTTTTTCACCGTGAGCTACTGCAAGATGCTGAATACATTTCCCTGTGCTATACCGTTGTGTTTCTTTCTTATTTGTTCAAAGTACCCGTGCGTCTGTCCCTTGCTGCCCCTTCTTGCTCTGCTGCTGTCACAGAGCACGGTGTCTGCTTCCTTGCCCCAGGTTTCTGCTGATGTACGCCACAGTTCTGTGCAGCTACTACAATTCGGCCCTGACGACAGCAGTGGTTGGAGCCATCAAGGTAAGTGGCTGAAGACTTGGAACGCATAACCGATTTGGGGGGTTGACTCTTGGGCTTCTCTGCTGTTGTCAGGGGTGCAGTAAGGATGGAGGCTTGTGGTATTGCCAGCTGTGCCTGCGATGATCCCTTCTTACGTCTTCTCCTAATCCGTACAACGAAGGGAAAACTTGCTAATTTAAAAGGAAGAGACAAATCAGGACTTTTAAATTGGGAGTGGTGGAAGGGATGGCCTGGGAAAACCAAGTGAAATAGCTGGAAAAAATTCCAAATTTCTGGGCTAAGATCCCTTTGGGCCTACAGCTTTCTGGGAGAACCTGTTGACTAACAGAATCCTTGTGAAGAACTGTTTTCACTCCAGATCTGTGCTCAATTATAAGGCAGCCAACTCTTGGATTGGGGTTTATGTTGCAGGTGTATGTACACGCACTCACACGCACACACAAGTGAATAGGAGGCGGGGGGTGTTCTGAATTCTCTGTGGTTGCTTTGTTTCTGTGTTGACATGAACTCCTACAGCGAGTGAATGCTTCAGCAGTAGACCTGTCTGTTGTCTGCCCAGGGACCTCCGAGAATACACTGGACAGAGAGGACAGCTTGGAATTGATCAGATGCCTCACTCTGTTCACGTTTAGGGCTAATATGATTAAAATTCATTACCCCGTGATAATAAAGAGATGGGATCTGGAAAGCTGCTTACAACTCAACTCCTACATCTTTTTCCTGTGTGCTGACTGGAAGGGGGCGTGGATAATGCAATTTCTGTGGTTATTGTGCCATAATTTACTTCGTTTCTTTATGAAGCTGTATGTAATGGTTTTTATCCACTCATTCAATATTTCACGGACCCCTACTGTAATACACGATAGTGAAAAGTAACTGAAATCTTTAGTTTCAGATTTCAACATATATATATTTTTCCCCTTAAGGTTTTACTTTTAAAGTCACTAATCCTCTCCCTTTTCCTGCAGAATGTGTCCGTTGCCTACATTGGGATGTTAGTTGGTGGAGACTACATTTTCTCGGTGTTAAACTTTGTCGGGTTAAATATTTGGTAAGTGGGATTTGTCAATGCACTCATTTTAGTAAAATGGGAATATTTAAAAGCCTGGTTAATACAAGCAAAAGAGCAGGAGGTGTTTTGACATTACAGTTTTAAAGACAAATTGTACTCAAATCATTCAGTTCATCTATTTTTATGACCTGCTCACTGACGTGGATCATGGGGACGTGTGTGATGAAAAGTCAAGGGGTCAAGATCTGAATTGCATCGAAAGGAAAGCCCCTACGTTATGTGTCTTCCTCTTGTGAATGGGCCTCCTTAAATCTGTGCACCATCAAAGTGCCATACACTAGGGATATGGGGAGGAGTGACTAAAAGATACTTTTGAAGAGGTGTTTTGGGATCTCAGACATGGGACACTATTTTAGATAACTGGGCATAATTTATTTAAATAATAACCTTATTTTCTCTCCCAAGTGTCTGTATTAAATTTGATGGGCTCTTTTTCTGACCCCAAAGATTTGTAAATAAGAAGATTGATTCTCATCAATTAATCCACACATCTGAGGGTGTAAAACAGCAGACTCAGTAATTACCTTCAATTTAAAATGGACTGTGTTTATAAAGATGTCAGCGACTGCTTCGTGGGATTTATTTATGGTCACTTTTTATTTTTTTTCCTCCTTTCAGCATGGCAGGGGGCTTGAGATATTCCTTTCTAACTTTAAGCAGCCAGTTAAAACCTAAACCAACCGTGGACGAAGAAAACATCCCTCAAGACTACAAGGCCTAGAATGCGGGGCAGAGCTGCAGACTGGCTCGCAGACCAGGGGGACGGCGGTCCGTTCCCAGATGGAGGAATGTGAAGCTGGATATGTTGGTTGTGGTCCACTCACTGCCCTGGTTAAGGTACAACAGGAATGTCTGCAAAATGCGAAGAGAATCTACCTCACCTGCTGCACCAGGAGCCATCGTCCACCCTGGGAAATGTATCTGGACAAAGCCTCACCAGCTGAACGTGCATCTTCTCAAAATAAGCCATTGGTGAAAGGGATTGTTTCCAAGGCACTTGCGTGTCCTGTGAGTGCTTCAGAGGAGGTGCAAGGCTGTGATGCTGTAAGGGTGATTGTTTTCTCATCAGCACCTTGGCCTTAATTTCGAAGGTCCCCGCCAAAACAAAGGGCCAGTGAGAACATTTATTTTTCAGTTAAACAGACATGTCTTTATTTTACTAAAATCAGCCAATGAACTGCCAGGAAAGTTACTTGTTAGCTTTGATTTGATCTTACAATGTTGGTACCCTTTCCCAATCATCAAAGTAAAATAAAGAATAATTTATATGCATGGCTCATACTCTGATACTAGACAGGCAGAAAAAGCAGTACATCATTTGTTTGGTCTGCCTTGGACGGTGATACTCCTTTTAAGGTTCATGTTGGGAAAAGTTACAAAAGAGTTCGATGAAACAGTGGTACTCAGTGAGCGCTCCCTGTCAACATTTAAGTAGGTCTTATTTCTCTCCTCTTCTCCCTCCAGGTTTGCTCAGGGGCCTTGGAAATTCAGATCATGGGGACTTTAACCAAGGTGCATTTCCTGACCTCCCAGAGCCTGAGATGGGATGAGGGTCACTATCACCTTCATCAGGAAATGCCCTGTCCCCGCCGGGTTGTGGTGCAGGGTGGGGCCGCACTCTGGGATTCAGGAGCCCTTCTTTCCAGTCTCATCTCCTCTGCGACCCTCCGAGGCCTTCACGGGTCACCGTGCCATTGTGGCCTCCATTTTTGATTTTTTTAAATGGGACCAGATCTCCAAGTCCCTGCTGGCTCTAACTTTCTAAGTTTCTAGACGCTGAGCCAGATGTGGCCCAAGGCAGCAAATGAAGGAATGATTGTGTTGATGTGTTCCAGTTTACTATGAAAAATTAAAAAATTTTTCATTGTGAAATACACATAACTTGAAATTTACCATCTTAACCATTTCTGAGTGTATAATTCAGTTGTGTTAAGTATATTCACACTGCCGTGCAGCCAATCTCCAGAACTTTTTCATCTTTTAAAACTGAAACTCTATACCCATTAAATAATGACCCCCCATTCCTCCCTCTCCCCAGTCCCCGGCAACCACCATTCTGTTTTCTGCTTCTGTGAATTTGACTACGTTGGGTACCTCATGTAAGTGGAATCACACAGCATTTGTCTTTCAGTGCCTGGCTTATCCTATCACTTAGGATAATGTCCTCAAGGTCCATCCATGTTGTAGTGTGTGTCAGAATTTCCTTCTTTTTAAAGGGCTGAATAATAGTCCATCGTATGGCTTTATGACGCTTTGTTTATCCGTTCATCTGTCAGTGGGCACGTGGGTTGCTCCTGCGTCTTGGCTGTCTGTGTATAATGCTGCTGTGAACGTGGGTGTACAAATGTGTCTTTGAGACCTTGTTTTCAATTCTTTTCATTATTAAAAGGAAGCTAGTTTTCTCAACACACGGAACACTTCTGACCCTAACTGTGTGGGACCTTTCCCTCACATCAAGCAACTCTCCAACTCTCTGGACACCAGCTGTGGGTCCTACAATTAAATTCTGACTCTATCTACCTGCACTTAGTGGAGACCCCACAGGTTAAGGGCTTAGCCCCCCGAGACTGCCTCCCCCAACACTTCAGATGCCAATCCCACGTCCCAGCTTGCGACTGGTGCTTCTGACCAACTGGCCATAAACCGAGGGTTTCCACACCCTCTCCCCCAGGTTTAATAATTTGCTAGAGTGGCTCACGGAACTCAAGGAAGTGCCTTACTCTCTGTTACCACTTTATTATAAAGCGTGACACTCAGGAACAGTCAAAAGGAAGAAATGCATAAGACAAGGTATGTGGGAAATGGTCCGGGGGCACCGCCCCCCCAGCACATCAGTGGGCTGACCAGCCTGGAAGCTCTCCAGACCCCGTCATTAGGCTCCGTTACTGTTTTGCGCAGTAACACGTGGAGCACAGCTGCACCATTTTACATTCCCACCAGCAGTGCACAAGGGCCCCAATTTCTCCACATCCTCACCGACACTTTTATTCCCTTTTTTGGCAGTAGTAGCCATCCTAATAGGTGTAAGGTGTTGGCTCATTGTAGTTTTTTTTTTTTAGGCGGGGGAAGGTAATTAGGTTTTTATTAATTAATTAATTTTTTAACGGAGGTTCTGGGGCTTGAACTCAGACCTTGTGCATTCTAGGCATGCGCTCTACCGCTGAGCTATGCCCTCCCCACTCATTGTAGTTTTGATTTGCATTTCACTGATGATTAGTGATGGGGAGCATCTTCACAGGTGCTTGTAAGCTATTTATGTGTCTTCTTTGGAGAAATGTCTGTTCGGGTCCTTTGCCTGGTCTTGAATCGGGCTGTTTGTGTTTTGGTTGTTGAGTCACAGGGGTTCTTTATTGTTTCACTTTACTTCTAAGGCTTCTAGAGTATTACCTTGGGGCTCCTAAGCCGTGTAACCACCTTCTCTTGGGTCATCAGCATTATTTCTGAAACCCAGAGACCAAAAATGCTAAGTTTCGAAAAGTGTAAACATCAACTCTTCATTGTTTTCCAGTGACGAAACAGAACAGGCATGCTTTCTTCCCCCCAAACCCACTTTTTTTCTAATTTTCATTCTTAGAATTCTTAAAGGAAGATGCTTTTATGTTTTTCGAAAGTCTTAATATGGTGAGCCTTTTGTTTTAAAGGCCAGGATGCCTTGGGATGAGGGTCCTCATTTATATGTTTTTCTTTTGCAATCACCTCAAATACCCTTCTTTTTTTTTCCCCCCAGTTTTTTTAACTTGAAGTACAGTCAGTTTACAATTTTGTGTCAATTTCTGGTGTACAGCATAATGTTTCAGCCATACGTACACATACATATATTTGTTTTCATATTCTTTTTCATGATAGATATTGAATATAGTTCCCTGTGCTATACAGTATAAACTTATTGTTTATCTGTTTTACATATAGTTCTTAATGTCTGTAAATCTCAAAATCCCAATTTATCCCTCCCCACCCCCTTATCCTGCTGGTATCTGCAAGTTTGTTTTCTGTGTCTGTGAGTCTGTTTCTGGTTTGTAAATAAGTCCATTTGTGTCTTTTTTTTAGATTCCAAATGTAAGTGATATCATATGGTATTTTTGTTTCTCTTTCTGGCTTACTTCATTTAGAATAACAATCTCCACGTCCATCCATGTTGCAAGTGGCATTAACAAATACCTAACTTGGCCTTAAATTATCCTTTCTTTTTTACCAGCACGGAAAAGACTTCTTTGGCTGCTTCCACATGTGGCCAACAGAGGGCACCATAAGAGCAGCACCCTAGGAGCTGGGCTGAAACTTGGCAATTTCTGCTATTTCTCTAAAGACCTGGGCTCCCGAGGGGTGGGGTTGATGGGAGCTCCAATCTAATTTTTGAATTAAGGATAGTTGAGAATGCTGGATGTAGAGAGATGGTGGAAAGGGACCCATGAGCTCCCAGGAGGCTGAAGAGGAAATGCAGCCCAGTGCCCCAGGTCTCCGGATTTTTTTCTTACTGAAAAAAACAAAAAACAAAAAACACACATAAAAACCATTCTGGGTGGAACAAGGAAAATTAGTTTGCTTACTTATTACTGCTAATAGCAGTGACATTTGTTAACTTGGACTTTTTTCTGCTGTTTTAATATTTTTTCTATATATTAAATATATCAGTACAAGCACAGGGCACTGGAGTTTTGTGACAGTTGAGTTTGCTCAAAGAACAGAAGCTGATTTAGAGAAGAGTTATATCTTTCATGTGCTATTACTATATATGAATATATATTTTATTATGTACTATTTTCATTTGTATGTATCTTCTGGGCCCCAGGAAAATGGCAAAGATACACATGTCAATCCTTTCGTGACCTTTTCCCTTTTGCAAGGTCACTTCAGCTTTTTAGGCTTGGTGACCCATTGTTATGACTAGGGAGTAATTTTTGTTTTCTGTGAATGGATGTGTGTCCTTGTGCATTTAGCTGACCAGTCGCTGCTACTCCGTCGTGGCTTTGGGGACAATGAGGGCGCCCAGCAGCTCAGAATCTCCAAGTTTCCTTTCCGTCATTAGACACTGCAGCACACGGAGAAAGAAAGCTGCCCCTTTAGGATGAAGCCAGAAACCCCAAGCAGTTTCCGGGGACTAACAGGGTCAGGGAAGCCATTCGTGTGCCTTCTGACCACTCCAGGGTGAAGTCTCCCATGATAAGCCTCAGAACTTTTCCTCTGAAATGTGTGATACCTGGGTCAGAACATCAGCATTACTTGGAGCTTGTTATAAAGGCAGAATATCAGAGTGCACAGGCTGAATCGAAATCTGCATTTTAACCCACGTGATTTGAGACACACCACCCCAGGCTTTTGGTCCAGGCTGTAATTTCAGTACCAAAAGTTCCTAACCTGGGGTTCATAGGGTTTAGAGGGCTGGTGAACTTGGATGGGAAAAGACTACATCTTGATTTTCCCTAACCAAAAATGTATCATTTCTTTTCGTTTGAATGTAGACAAGACCGCAGTAATACGGCTGCACGTCACCCTATTCATCAGTCGTGTTTTCCTTAAAACAGAGTTAAGAGGATAGCAGGAAAATAAAAGCTGAATCAAGAGGGCCAAAGTTTCAAGACTGTATTTGTTTGTGGAAATAGAAATTATATCTACTCTGTGCCTATGTTGAAAAAATAGAGATTAAGATGCCTGGCTGGCTGCATTAGTTAATATTGCTGGTCTACCTCAACTGTTGCCACCTGTGTTTTTGACCCCATTTCTGGGGGTCCAGTTCTCGAACTGTTTTGTCTCCATAGAGATATGCGTGGCAGGGAAATTTTTTTCTTACTATTTACTGTGCCATGAAAATAATGTATTTGGGGGATGGAGGGTAGAGCCCAGTGGTAGAGCACATGTTTGGCATGCACGCGGTCCTGGGTTCCATCCCCAGTGCCTCTGTTAAGGGGAAAAAACTAAAAAGATAAATCACAAAAAAGTGTATTTATAGATAACGTATTAGTGGTTGCCACAGGGATGGGTGAAATGAATGAAGAGAATCAAAAGGTGCAAACATCCAGTTGTAAACTAAATAAGTCATGGGGATGTAATGTACAGCATGGTGACTATAGTGAATAACATTGTGGTGCATATTTGAAAGTTGCTGAGAGTAGATCTCACTGTAAGAAAAAGAAATTTGTAACGATGTAAGATGACGAATGTTAACTAGACTTACTGTGGTGATTGTTCAGCAAATGTATACAAATATTGAATCATTATGTTGTATACCTAAAACTAAATAATGTTCTGTTCACTATACCTCAATAAAAAA